GTGTTCCGACTAATTTAATAAATAAAAAAGGAAACAGAAAGTTATAGAAGTGCGAAATAATAAAAAATGCTAGTGTTAGAGTCAGCGAATTAGGATATCGCCACCATTGGGGTCGACGGTACCACATCTGCCCGTTGCAGTGCCTGTTAGAGTCAGTGAATTAGGATATCGCCGCCACTGGGGTCGACGGTACCACGTCTGCCCGTTGCAGTGTCCAGGACCAGGAGAGAGCGAGGACTTGACTTTCGACCAGCCGAACGCTAGGAAGTGATAGGCAATATGCCGTTAAAGACATTCTTTATTTTGTTCCTCAATTAATTACATTTCAAACATTTTTTACGAGATATTTAATAAAACGTTATAAAACCATGTTAACACGTGTTTTATGAAGTGACTATACAGGGTGTTATAGTATACAGGGAGATAAATCATTTTAAACCAACAATTTTGAAGTTAATTCTGTTAACTTCTAACACTAGACTAAATGGTGAAGAATTACAAAGATGTAGTTTCCACGAAAAAACAGGGTGAAAACAGGCTATGTTAGTTTTTTAAGAAGTGTATGTTATAGTGTTATAACCAATGTTCTGAGGGTGACAGAGAAGATATTCTTTAAAGATTTTGACTCCTGACAACCAAAAATGAACAGGATTGCTTATTTACAAGCATTGAATTACAAAGTTGAATTACATATTGCAATTATGTGTTTTATACACATACTTTGATTACTATACGAGGCAAGAGAGAGGTCCGACACGCCCAACATAGGGCGCGGCCATTTTGAACCATGTGACACAGTTTACAGCTAAAGAATCAGATCGCTCACTCTGCGTCGGCACTTTTGATCTCAATGTTTCAGTTTATACACTGTACAACTCGGATAATACAATATATGACAACCGCCTATAATAAAACAGCAGTCTTCTGCGTATCCTGAATTTGTATCCCTGGAGTGGATGTTATTTTGGAGCTTTCAACTGGTCCGAGTGAGCTAACTGATTCTTTAGCAATAAACTGTGACTTCAAAAATAATATTCACTGACACTGACAGCAGCAAGCAAAATATCAGGTGCGTTTTAATCATCCGCTTCTGCTTCCCGAATTGTCGGTTTAGTGTGATCTAAGGTGAATGAATGACATTTCTACTAACATAAAGAATTATTATTATTCTCAATCTTTTTTATTAATTTAAATTTTTAAAATGTTATTGTAATACTTTTAAATTCAGTGTTACTAAATACCGATATTTTGACATTGGATAAACTTGCTTGAGGTACAACTTTACAATTTATTGTCACTTAACCATTTAAATCTTTTTGCTTAAAATGTATATACATGTCCAGATTTTAATAATTTTTCACATTTTATATCATTTTGACCATGTAAACGATTGTTTGTTACGGGCCGGTATCTATATGTAACTATATTTAATATTTTAAAAAATATCCTTTATTTTTTACTTGAAATGTTTACCCCATTTAATTCTAAAATTGAACACTAGAGAGCAGGGCTAACTTCGGCAGTAGTGCTGCCTCTATATTTCACGCACGGTCCCTATAGACCAATCAAAATTTAGAGAAATAACCTAAATAATTGTATTTTTTTGAAAATATGTCAAATTTGACAGGTATAAAAAATAGCTAATGTCATTTTTTATTATTTTGGGATCAAAAGCAAACTAAATAAAAAAATCCATATATGATTAATGGGTAGTTACTTTATAGGCACTGTATTACTTTTCCTTGTGGGGTATTCGGTATTTAAAGAATTAGTTGAAGAGTCCATATTTTCTCCGACATAAAAACGAATTTATATTATGCAATATGTAATAATCTAATTTTCAATGAAAGTAGATTTGCAGCTTTGAAGATAATCAAGAGAGAACATTTTCTGAATTATTTTTTCCGCCTGATAGAAATTTTATTACAGACAACAGAATTGCCCCATAAAAGTGACTATAAACAAGACCACAATAAACATTTTATTAGAGCACTAGTAGGCATACTATTTTTTATTCTGGATATTGAATAGAACGCTTTGTTTAGTTTAGTATTAACTGTATTCACTTGTACACTTCAATGAAGATAAAGACATAGATGATTATAGATTAAAATGACTAAATTATTATGTATTAATATATTCATTAATATATATTTAGAGAAGTTTAATAAACATTTTCCATTAAATTATGTTACTGTAAGGAAAACAAGCAAAAAATATCAGCTAACACAAGACATCAATAATATAAAAAACCAGCTTGATATAGTACTAATACATGTATAAGGTTCCATACAAATTATTAAAGAAACAATATGATGAGTTACTACAGGTGAATAAAAAAGATGGTTACGATAAAAGAATACGATTATCTGACAATAAAACTAAATGTTTATGGGTGATATGTAAAGAAATTACTGGAAAGGATGACAAAGAAAATATTGTGATACATGGCGATCCTCATGAAATCTCAAACAATTACAATATTTTTTTATCAAAAATAGTTCGAGAACTCTTAGATAAACTTCCAGAGGTTCCGTATGTATGTAGCATCCCAGAAAATAATAAGTCAATTTTCTTAAAACCAATTACACCATCAGAAATAATGGAACTTTCAACCAAAATAAAAAATAAACTCAGTAGTGGGGATGATGGAATCCCAGCAAGTATAATGAAACGTATAGTCTACCTGTAATAAAAGCTATTTTGACACATATAATAATTCCTTAAAATCGGGTATTTTCCCCAAACAATTAAAGACATCAATGGTAATCCCTATTTTTAAAAATAAATGTGATCCAGAGTTACTTGAAAATTACAGACCCATTAGTTTGCTACCCACTTTCTCTAAAGTTTTTGAATTAGTAATTGTGTCAAAATTCACAAGTTACATGAAGGAAGAACATTTATTTCACTGGGTATCTTTTTAGATTTAGCGAAAATTTATGATTGTTTAAATCATGATTACTTAAAAATTAAATTAGAAAAATATGGAATTAGAGGGCCTGCACTAAAATGGATTGTATTATTTTTAGCATATCGGGAACAGACAGTCACCATTACGAATACGGGAAAGCACTTTCAATCTGGAAAAGTTAATACCACAGTAGGGATTCCACAAGGAAGCATTATGGGACCACTATTATTTATAATTTACTTAAATGACTTACCATCAGTTCCAACTAACACAAAACAAATAATAACAAATTATGTAGATGACTCCAACCTACTAGTGGGAGGGAAAACAATACCAGAGGCAATGATCAATGGTAATTTACTTTTTTCTACAACCATGTCAGTAAATGTTAAAAATCGCACTATCAACATCCCTTGTAAATGACATTTAACAATAACATGCACGTAATGAGATCTCATAACATATACGTGCGTTTTGATAAGAAAACTTAAATTTCTTGGTTTAATCAAATTGCAATCAAATTTTTGTCTACGTACGACTTTATTTGGTCTATTTACATAAATTTAGTCATTTAAAAAACAAAAACTTTTAGCATTAGCGAGATACATTTTGGATAAAAAGAGTGATGCCCCTAAAAGTCGGCAACATATTATACAATATTTCAAAAAATATGTCGCGTTTTCTTAGCATGCTATGAAAATAAACGTCATGCCATTTATATTGTCAATTTTTGTAACAAAATATGATTGTATCCGAACATTTTCTCAACTTTACCTACGAATATGTTTGTTAGCAGTGAAAGTGATGAAATTATGAGCACTCCACTGGAGAGTTTATCTTATATTATTAGTCACTTTGGTTTTTCAAATTGATCACCCTGTATATTAAGTCATTATTGGAATCTCCTATTCAATACGAGTTCAACCATATGCAACACTTATGATTTTATGTAGGCTGGAAGGTCTTAAATAAATAAAACAATCATGGAGAAATGTGGTAAATGCACTCTATCATCGATTAGGGTACTGTCAACTCACAAATGAAGCAAATTTTGAACACTTGATAAAGTAACCATTATGTTAAAAATGGTGTAATCTTTCAATTGTTACGTTTTAATGTAGTTGAAAATAGTTTGTATTAAAAAATTTATGAGACAATTAGGCGTTGCCAGACTTCTGTTTTATTTATTTAAGACCTTCTAGACTACATAAAATCATAAGTGTTACATATGGTTGAACTCGTATTGAATAGGAGATTCCAATAATGACTTAATATATAGGGTGATCAATTTGAAAAACCAAAGTGACTAATAATATAAGAGAAACGGAAAATCTGGCAACATTGCAAATATCAAATCTGGAAACTCCCTATCCCAAAATAGGTGAACCCCAAATTTTGTACAATTAGGACTAGCAATTTACGAGATAATTGGCCATTTCCAGACTTTTGGGCCACTCTGTATATGAATGTCTATTGTTCATAATGAAAAATAAAAACAATTATTAAGGGAATTAATACCAGTTTACAATACAAGAAGCAGTCATGTATCCATATCACAGACTCACGTTAACAAAGAAAAATTCTCACTACATGTGCATAAAATAGTATAATGCATTAAAAGAGAACATAAAAGCCATTAACAGTATTAAATGTTTCAAAAACGCATATGAGAATTATTGATTGGCATGGAACCCTATAGCATGTCGGAAAACCTAAATTATAACTTTAATTAAGTCATCATTAGGTAGTAAATTTATGACATCATTTCACTATAATGTTATTTATGTTTATACATTGTCCTCGACATTGTCAATATTATTTTTGGAAAGATTATTATTATTAATTTAGTACAAATGTTTACATTCCTGTGCTGAATCCACATCTGTTGATTTACATCATGACCTATTAACTGTATTAACATATCGGCTCTAGTTATTATTAATGTTTTTTGATCTATAATTTAGTAAAAAAGTATTTAATATAATAACTACATGTCTGATATTGTATTAAATAAATTAAAATTTGATTAAAATATTTACAAATTTGAAATGTACAATTCAATTAGATATAAGAAAATAATTAAAAATTAACACTGTAAACTCATATTAATGGCTTTTTGGAGTAAACTTTCTTCATCATCATCCTCAGGACTACTGTTAAAACCTTGTTGCATACTTAACCTCAAAGCTTCCTGTAGATCTCGATCCTCATTCTCTTGAGGTGCAAAATCACCCTCGTCTGCAAGACTTAATTGCAAAGCAGCCTGTAGATCTGCGTCATCACTAACATTAGAAACAGTATTAGTCAAAACTGGCCTAGGTACAGCGCAAACAGGGTTATTTCTCAAAATTTCATCAGCAGTACATTCTGGTAGGTCTCCGAATATGGCAAATATTGAATAACCATCATTTTTCAATTGTGCCAAGAACAAAACTAAGTACGTATCTGATATAAGCTCTGGCCTAGTTAAAAGAGAATTCAGGTTGAACCACTGTTTTCCTATTTTTCGTATAGTAAACCAGTGATCTCGGAAATTGCAAATAAATGCAGTCATATCACTAGGATCGCTAAGAAGTCTTTTGTCAGTACTAGAGTAAGGCACTAATTCTAAACCCCAAACTTGTAAAGCACTACTTATAACTTGTACAGAAAAGTAGCCACTATCATCCATATTCCCTGAAGGCTGTTGGAGAAATTTGTGATACTCTTCACTTTCTTCGCCAGATTCTGCCATCCTCTTTCTTTCCTCTTCATCCAACTTTTGAGCCAAAGTGCTTAACTCAACAGCTGTAAAGTAAGGTCCTTGTAAGAGGGAGTTCAGGCAATGTTGAGCACAAAGAGAGCCTTCTTGCTGAAATAAATAGAAATAAATATTGCATACTATTCTTGCATAAAATAACCTAACCTTTTCATGGAATATAACGTCCATAATAGGAAATTTCATGAAATACTAAAGTAAAAAAATATACACAAAAATAATCAGTGTGACTCAAAAATAAAAATAGATTATAGTCAACTTCGTTATTTCAAATCTAGACAATTTTTTGGACATTTTCATAGGGTCTTTGTTGCCTTCTTCTTGATTTTTAAAATTATTGGTCAACTATCAATTTTCCTTTTCATTTTTGCTGTTCTTCACGTTTCACCTCGTTATTAATCTCTTATTTTTTAAAAAATCAGCACAGAAGTCACAAATTGCAACTAATGAAGTGAAGTTTTTTTGACGGTTTTTGTTTTTCTCCAGCATGTTGACATTCAACATGGCGGCATGTCGTCAGTGCTGTGCTGTGTCGTGGTGAGTTGAAATTTTAACAAATTTTCACAAAAAAACAACAATTTCTTATTAAATCCTATGTATATTGTATGTTAGAATTATGAGTTAAAATACAAAATAATAAATTGCATTGAAACATTCCTGTAAGCCATATTTTAGACAAAATGTCCAACTTTAACCCTTTTTACAATGCTTCTTTTGTGCCGCAGAAGTCTACGCAGTTCATTACTTTTTACCTTTTTACTTTATAAAACATTGTCAGGTATGTAGAACCTTTTAGTAGAAAGCTGATTCTAATTACGGTGTATTTAAATTTATCAATTTAAAAAAAGTGAAACTATAAATAAATCAATAACATGAACGTTGATCTGTCCATTGCTGGTAAAGTTGGTCTCAATTTTACTTATTTACTTCTGTGTATTTATATTTATTTACTTATAACCATATTCGTTTCAATTAACTCATAAATGTGGCAAAGGGAATCTTTTTTGTACATAAAAAATGATATTGATATCAAGCATATTTAAATTAATCCTTCATCAGCAAAAAAATAAAACTAACAACGTAACCTTACAATTGATTTTTATATCTATTTTATATAAAATAGTGGTCGTATTTCATACAATAACAATTATTCATCGTAACATTGATATTTTATAACTACAAGGGTATCCTAAACTATAGCAAAGAGCTGGATGTTTGGAGGAACAATATTTACCTTTTTTATTTTGATAAATTACGAATTTCCGGTACCCTAAAGATGTTTTTTCCTCTACTGGTAATTGAGATTTTACTAGATGTCTTATTCAAATGGAATAATAATATGGAAGTAACATTTTAAATCCTATTTTACAAATACAGTGATTATTAAAGTATAATTATATCTAATAAAAATGCTTTAAAAAAAGTCATTTTAAATTCAAATTGGAACATTATGTATTTGAACTACAAAGATTCTAATCTATTTTTGAAATGATTGCTGTATTTTAGTGAACATGAAAACAAAGTTTAGCCATTTTTCTATTTATTTTTTTTACTGCATAACTCTAGGTAAGTACTTTTTTGCTTTGGAAAATATTGTCAAGAAGAAATACCTATATGTTTTTATAGAAAGTCAATGTTGTGTATTTAAATTTAATGAATGAAATAAAAGTCATCTAAAAGGAGAACCATTTAAAAAAGTGTACATAAATGTGGATATATTCCATGCTTTTAAAGTGTATTAAAAAAAAAAACTTTATTGTCCAAACAGGTTAAACTCCAATTAGAGGACACATGCAATAAAAAAATATATGTATACATATAATTATTCCTAATTTAAAGAAAATAACTTAAAATACTTAAATTAATAGCTTTGTACTTCACATATTTAAACTGACACTATAAAATCTAATGAAAGAATGAAACTATTTGTTAATATTTATTTATATTATTTATTTATTGTCTGAGTAAGTACTCATGGATTTTACGTTTAATGCATGTAAGAGAGTAAAGTTTATGTCCAAATTTAATTCAGCTGCATATCTATTAAAATTGTTGCAAATGGTATGGATAGGTTAATTTGTCAAAATATTTATTCGAGGCGTGGACAAGTAAAATACTGTTTTATATCTTGTATTGAAATGTGGTACACTAAATTTAATTTGGGATAGCAGGTCTGGACAGTCCAATAAATTATTAACTAATTTATATATAAAAGTTACTCGAAAAGTTATGACCTGCAGTACTCTCCTGTATTCTAGAGATATTAAAGCTAATTTACCCAGTAGAACAGCATTGTCAATTCCCCTTTCCAGATAAATCCCATCAATTTTAAATGCAACGTATTTCATAAATCTGCGATGGATCTATTCAATAAGTAACTTATGAGATATGGGTAGCACAAAATTGATCGAAAAACGTTTGATTGAATTGGAAATTTGATCGAAAATACATTTTATCGAATAGCATTTGATCGAAAATACATTTGATCAAATAACATTTGAAGGAAGATATATTTTATCAAATAACATTTTATCAAAAAGACAATAGTTCGAAAATTCATTAGATCGAAAGGAAAATCAACATTAAAAACAGTAAAATATCAAAAAATCAAACGATACCATTCAACCGTACGTCTAATCCCTACTACCAGGAAAACTAAACTAAGCGGCTATCAAAATTAAGTACTAATGGCAAATTTTTCAATAATCTCAAATGATAGCTACATCGTTTAACAAAGTTTATCCTTACAATACTGTTAATTTAAAAATAATTATTCTAGAGCTAAACGGTTATTTATCTTCATTGGGATTAAAGGAATGTGATTAATTCACACAAAATATGTATTTCAATAAGGTCGAGTTGTCTCCCGATGGGACATTTTAGGTAAATTATTTTAAGTTTTTTTATGTAAAAAATTAAATTAATTTACCTAACCTGTGCGACCTGGAGCCGTCGCGGCAAAAAAAAATTATGGAAAAAGGAAAAATTCAAACAAAAATATTAACTAATTTACCTAATTTGTGCGACCTGGAGCCTTCGAGCGTTGCTTCGCAAAAAAATATACAAAAAAAAAATAAAAAAAATTTAACCAATTTACCTAACCTGCGCTATTTAAATTTAAATAATATACCTAACCTGTGCGGCCTGGATCCTACATGGTTATCCTTGAAAAAAATATGGAAAAATAAGAAAACTAAAAACAAAAACTTTAACTAATTTAGCTAACCTGTGCGGCCTGGAGCCCTCGAGGGTGGCTTCGCAAAAAAAATTATATTAAAAAGGAAAAAATAAAGAAAACCTAACTTATTTACCTAACCTGTACGGCCTGGAGCAATGTAACTGATTGCTCTGAGAGAGGTTAGGTTTTTAAAACACTGTCAGAGCGATCAGTTAAATTGCTCCAGGCCGCACAGGTTAGGTAAATTAGTTAAGTTTTCTTTATTTTTATTTATTTTTAAAAAACATAACTAACTTACCTAACCTGTTTCAGAGCAATCAGTTAAATTGCTCCAGTCTGGAAACGTCGTGGTTTGTCTCGCCAAAAAAATTATAAAAATAAAAAAACTAATTTACCTAACCTGTGCTATTCAAATTTAACTGATTGCTCTCGCACAAGTTAGGTACGTTACTTAAGTTTATTTTATTTTTTGTTTTTGCGAACCACCAGCGATGATTCTAGACCGCACAGGTTAGGTAAATTAGTTGTAGCACTCCAGAATCCAAGGGCACTGTATCCAGGAGGATATCAAATAGAAGAGGGAGATTTACCTTACTTGAAGCCACTTCAAATCCTATACTTTCTTCAGAAAATAGGATTGGAAGGGTCGTTATAGGCATTGAGACATTTTCTTGGTGCATTGGCGATAGAAGGGACACAATAGATCTTTTAGGTCTCAGTGTATTAACACCCCATTTTCAACATAACATAGGTAAATTAGTTAAAATGTTTGTTTTCATTTTTCTTATTTTTCCACAATTTTATGAATATTTGGTTTTTCGTTTTAATTGCTTTTTTTATCAAATCCATTTTCGATCAATTTTCTTTTCGATCATTTTTCTGTTCAATCATTTTTTTGTTCAATCATTTTTCTTTTTGATCAATTGTTATTCATAAAAATGTTTTTTCGATCAAATGTTTTTGATCAGTGCTGCGAATTCAAGACGTGATCTTACAAATCAGTTGAATAATACAATTAGACAGTCTATATTTCCGAAAACTACAAAAAAAAAAACACAGAATTATCAAAAAAACCTTTATTTTGAGTAAATACATACAAATATTGCTAAAATGTAGTGGCCCCTGGAGCTATTTTCCCGATAACAGCGTGGCACGCAATATAAACGAGGTAAAAAACTTAACTCTTATCAAATTCAACTCCCAAATCCTTTATTGTCTCTACTTCTTCAAGTGGTTTATTCTGTATTGAATAGTCAAATTGGATGTCAAGCCTTTGTTTGAAAATCTCATGAACTTGCATTTTTGAATGTTAAGAGGCAATTTATTAGTAATACACCAATTATTTATTTTATTTAAATCATTTTGTAAAAGATGTACATATAGAATTTCATAAGTTATTTTTGTATATATCAATAATTTAAACTGGAGTTTCGGTCCTATTTTAGACATAAATGCCCTGCCTGTACTTTGAAATTAATCAAAAGTTACACAAATTGCTGTTACATCAAATAGTTGAGTTTTTAACTATATAAAAAATGTCACAAAATACAGTAATAATAGCAGACTGTTATTAATTTTTTATCATATATGAAAGAAAAACGTTTAATGATATTTTTGAATTAGTCTGTTTTTAGTTCAATTTAGCCTCGCACAAAGATTATCACACCAATCAACCTGTTTTAACTAACTTCACAGGATACCAGCACATATGTGCTAATTCTATATTGGAAAGTACTATTATAAAGGGATTATATAAATCAATATCTTCATAATTTGTTACTGTGTATGTTAAATATTTCAAAGAATATAATATACGACAAAATTAATTGTATTGACTATAAAATGTTTTAAATACATCAAGTCTCACAGTTGTAGATTGGCATAAATTCTGGTTGATACATCATTACAAGTGTATAAAAAAATAGTAAAATCCTCTCAAAATTAAGATAACTGCACATTGAATGGGATTTTCTTTTTATTTGAAATACATTTTTTTATTATTTAGAGT